ACACAGAGCCTAATTACCGTTACTGTAATTGTGGTAATCTTCTGCAGTAGGCCAAAGGAGTGGTTATGGGCAGGAGGCAAGAGGATTGCAGAGGTCACACAGGAAAGAAACCTTTGTGTCAGCACATTTCGGCACAGATACACCCTCAAAATGTACTATTTATTAGAGAACAGATGATAGCCTGTTTATCTGTGGATGACGTACCCTGAATAGTGTCCGCTTTACCAAGAATTCATTCATGTTTCATGTTTCTTTTGTGTAAATTAGGTACTGCAGCAGTGGCAACTGTTAGACGGACATCCTGGCTGAGATGTTCGATCCAATGAACGCCAGACGGAACCATTAACTATCTTAAAAAACAGAACTTTCATCGATTGTAAAGATGCTACGTAAAAAGTCTTGGCTTTGGGCTATTTGGCTCTTGAGCTTTTGCACCTTTTGGGGGGGAATGTAGAAGAATAAATTATACCTCTTAAGTTTTCATTTCTATTCTGTTCATCGTGTCTTTGTGTATTCCTTCCAGTCCCGTCTTTCTCAGTATCCTCTGTACAGACGGAAACTATTTTCTATTAATTAACAAACCTCTGTTAGTGAAACCTTTAGGTGTAGTGCGAAGAGAGCCCAGACCAGACCTGTAAGAGGTCACACCTCAATGTATAATTCGCCTTCTGCTTTGTAAAACAGACCTGTATTGAGCCTATGCAAAGCCACTGCTACAGACTTGCGAGTTGAGTTCCCAGACCCAAACAATATGTCTTGCAGACAGTCTTTCTGAAGCAACAGATATGACAGAAATGTGGTTAGTGAAGTACTTGTCTGACCTGTAAAGCCTCCTGAATGTTTCCATTGTAGTCAATGATTTCAGTGGATCCTTGGTCTCCTTTCTGTCCAGGGGGGCCCTGCACATTATTGCCATCAAGAAACACATTTTAACTCATGTTCTTTCATACTGCACTCCCAACTTAAACATAACATCATTTCCCGCATTTAAGACCAATATCAGTAAAAAACTGCTATGGTTAGACTGCTGCCCCCTGTTGGTAATCAGCGTGAGATGCTGCATGTCATGGGAAATCAAAGCATTTCATGTTACTTGAGCATGAGTCATGAAATCATCCGAGAAACCGGAGAATAGAGGCGATATAATTGCTTACCTTTGGGCCAAAAGATCCAATTTCTCCTTCGTTTCCAGTCTCCCCCTAATGTGAGAAAACAAACAAAAATGATTAAAGAATCTGTAATATTATTATTACTACATTCTCCTTTGCAGAAAGCAGTACATGCATTCAACACAACAGCAGTGACTCAAAAATAGTAAAAACTGTGAACATCGAATGTTGGAAATCCAAGATCGGAATCACCTGTGAAATCTAACTGAAGGATCAGCTAATTAAGGGGCAATTAGAAAAGAAAACATATCTGCCATGCTCACCTTTGAGCCTTTCAGACCGGGTGTACCAGGCTCTCCTTGTGAACCCTGCCGTGAGTAAGAAAAAAAATAGATGGCGAACATGAGTCATGAGGGACACTTTAAAAAAAAGACTAATTTCTTGACCTATAAACATGAAATTGATAAACACTCTATTCATGGGTTCAATCTAAATTCCTCACAAAAAATATATCATTTAAAATGCATATCTCACAAAAGGAATATCATCAACTTCTTGTGCTCCTCCCGAGAGAGCAACACCGTCAGCTTCCCCTGACATGCCCGGCTTTTAATATGCCATATAGCTGCCAAGCAATGGAGAAAGTGTTTATTTGAACTCTGGCATTGATAAAGAAGGGGTTTCACTTTTGGGGGTTCTAATAGGATGTGAAACAGAACCGAGGGTCGTCTCAGTTTAGACTGGAGCTTAAGCTACCTGCTGGCTCAGTGCCAGACATAAACAATGGTAAACTCATTTATATTTGGTTTACTCTACGCAGACTCCAGGGAAAGCCTTGAACCCATTACAGCTATAATGGGTTAGCCAGCTCTTTTTGTTAAGATAGCCGACTATTTGAGGGATTGAATGGGCTCTTGCTTATGGATGCATTGTACTTGTTCTTATTCAAAACTATGGGAACTTTATGGCGTGTGCTTAAATCACCTTGGCTCTAGATGGCAGCGACAATCTATGACTTTCATGGGTGAAGAGACTGTTGTGAACAAGCAGAACGCTTTTAAATACATACTGCTGAATGAGCCAGTTTCTTTTTTAATGCAATTTGTCTATGCATTGCACACATGCTGTTGAATAACTGACCTTTGGTCCAAGGGGTCCAAGTTCTCCTCTTTCACCCTTTCCTTGCGGCCCGTGGTCGCCTCTCTCTCCCTATACAGACAAAAAGAGCAAACAAAGACAAGTTACCCCTGCAACCTGCATTCGTCACGGAGAAGTGCTGATCAGGGCCCAGTTCCTTTTTCTCGTCAGCAGAAGAGCTGCGATGCATCTTCTGACAGAACTTCAATTTCCTTAATGTTCGGCAGTATTGACGTGGTTGAGGGATCTATTAAAAAAAGCTCCACGCCCTTCTCGTGAGTTTGCTTACTCGGCAGATTTAAATGGTGAATCGTAGATACTTATGTTGAGTCAGCACAATCGGCTTACTGATTGTGAAGGTGAAATGTTATTTAAAAAAAACAAAAAACATCTGCATCAAGCAATCTTTGTCCTGATGTGAATATCAGGTGAATATTTAAAGAAAAATGCAAATCCTTTGTTGATAAAGTTTTGTGCATTTTCTCTCATTGTAAAGTGATATAAAATAGCCAGTAGAGGGGGGTGTGGTGTAAATTAAAGCCCATACTCTCTATTACTTATTTCTGATACTTAAAACCAATTGGGACTCCACCATCAATTCAATTAGGCTTTATTTTCTCTTCAAATAACTGCTTACTAATGATAACTTAATGGCACAAATAAATCTGCAAACTCTCTGGGAAAAAAAAAAATCAGCAGTACCCTCTGAAAAATTGGATGAACCCCAAGTTGTCTCAAACATAAGGAAAAACCATCAGAGGAAATATGTGCCGCAATGCTCCCTCCTTTTCAGCTCTACCCTGACATTTGAGGGAGCAATATGCCAGATGACAATGCAAAACCAATACACCTCGATTATCGATGCGCTGCAAACAGCCTGATGCAAAAGGACAATGAGAACATTAATTGTATAGTGTGACTGGATTATCACCGCTGGCTCCACAGTGTGATAATGTCACGACTCAAAGGGAGCGGAGGGGATTAGCTCATTCTGACCACTTCCAAGTGACATTTTGAAGAAACAGGGGCTTAATCACCCCGGCAAAGTGATAATAACGGATAATGAGACCATTAAACCCAGAGGAACTGCTGATTTCAATGACGATCGCACTGACAGGATGTGATAAAAAAAAAAGAAGCTGTCAAATCTGAAATATGCACTGTGAACAAGCTTATTGTAATCAAGCAAAAGTCACCCACCTTCGTTCCTGGAAGTCCTGGAAGCCCTGGCTCTCCCTGGGGGCCGAGGAATCCAGTCTCACCCTGAACAAAAAAAAAAAGCAGACATCAGGCATTTTTGGTCTAGCGTTACCTGCACCCGCCGTTAATGAGAACTGAACACATACAGTACACAAGATGAATGGCCAAACATCTGCAAAAACGACAGGCATGCACCAACTGCTCACACAAACACACACGCGCTCAGGGACACATGCATAAATCACGCACAGACACAAATCACCATTGGCTTGTTAATTCATCCCCTGGTTTCACATCCATTAATGACTCCCTCTTATGAGCCTGAATAGACGGTATGACTGACCTTGTTAGAAACTCATCAGGGCACAGGAAGCGTTCTGCTTCAAGCGGTGTGCAAAAACCAGGCTTTCTGCCACTTGTGAAGAAGCTTTCATATTTTTGCATTTGCCCTTTCACTTATGAGGAGTGAGCTTCCAGCATGAGGTGTGGTGCTTGATTTGATTTGCATTACATTTGATTCTGCAACCAGAGCTCCCACCTACTGTAGCTGAGGCGCTCTGGAAGCCTTTGGAGAGGTAATCGACACTTGCCTCTCAAACTTTTAAACATTGATAAGATAAAGAGCCAAAAATGCGGAGCAGAACAAAGTGCAAGCGGAGCTCAGAACCCGAGAGTGCTGCGTTAGCAGAAATATTGTTAGAATCCATCAAGCATTCAGGCCTCTTAAGTAAAAACAGGAGTATATTAAATGTCAAATGAAAGGGCTTTTTTTTTTATAAGGTCAGCACATAACAAGCACGCACAAGGAGAAAACCAAAACCAAAACAGCAACAAGCATCATCTCATCATGCCCGTGTGAGCATTCCTTGCATTCACATTATATTTCAAGCTAATGATCCTGAGAAACACTGAGGTGGTTGGTATTCTTTAAGCAAAAGATGGCTGCGAATTATTATGTGCCTCTTGTTTCCCCATCTGCTGTTTGTTTTTAATGGTAAACAAGCGAGCACTTTAACTAAACCAAGAAAAGCCTAATTCGAAAAGACTCTAGATAATCAAATAGAAATAGCACTTAGCGAGCGGTAGTTTTGACACATTTTTGCCCCCGAGTCTCTTGATGCCACTTGCAGGAAGTAGAATGGAGTTGTTGCCAGCGATGCATTGTTCAAATAATTAATTCATAGACCTCTACTGAAACTGAATGAGACCGTTTTCCTCTGGCATGTTCAAATGAAAAGAATCGACTATTTGGCCTTGTCGGTATGCCTGAGCCATTTACTTTTCAGTGCACTGAATGTACAGCTATTACTGTGCGTCTGCCACTTAGGCAGATGGAAGCTTGCAGTCTAGGTACAAATCACCACACAGCAGGAAAAGCAAGATTATGAGACCGTAATGTGTCGCGCATGAGGCACGACAATGGGGTTGGCGGAGTTTTGCTCTGAGCTCTGCCACAGATGGGCTGAAGAGGATGGACAGGGACAACACTGGGGGAATGACTGGGGATAAAAACAGCGAAGCATTTACCTTTATCCCTGGGAGTCCAGGCAGCCCTGGAAGTCCTGGCTCTCCCTACACAGGAAGAGTGTGACATGTTACAGCCAAGCCAAGCTAAACTGAGTCAAGCCTCATTTGTGGGCTCTTCGGGGTTCTATTAGCCCTACACTTTATCTATTTGTGTTTTCTCTGGCTATCATGCTGCTGTGATTCTGAAAAGCGGCCTGCTGCCCGCAAGTGTATGCGACCTTTCGTTTGCTTGCGGTAAGCATTAGCAGAAGGCACTGCACATGCACTTGCAAACCAAATCATGCAGCCATGGCTTGACAGCGGGATTAGTGCTTGTTATAACACTCAACCTTTCACAAAGTGCAATTGAGTTTTATTTTTATGATTTTATTGGTTTGGGCAGGTGTGAAAAGTTATGGTTCCTGGAAGGAAAAACTGTCAGATACTTTGGATTAAATTAGCTAAAAGCTGTTTGAGAGAGATGCCGTGGCTTCGAGGTCATTAGAGTTTGGCGGCGCTGGAAGTCAAGAGTTGGTTACCGAGGTCGGGTCATTGTCAAGTTGAGAACTCCAAACTCCCATTACATGCAAGTTTGACGAATGCACATTTGATTCAACTGTGGAAAAATCAGAGGTCAAGTCTCTTGTGAGGCGTCCGCAAGACTTTCAAAACAAAACGTCTGACTCTGGATAGTTTAACTCTCTATTAAGACCATTGTATTTATGGCATATGAAAAGAAATGATTAGCGCAGCACGAGACCGATCAACTGTAACGTCCCTCATGGGGATCAGAAAGAGGGCTGTACATTTCCATTGTGGCTAATGAAAGCAACGGAAAACTAATGAATAAAAGTCTCTTTTTGTGGACTTGCTACTTCACCAACACTTGAATGCCATCCAATGGTAATATTAAATGGGGAACCACAACTCAATCCTCTGATGGCCATTTTGATGAGAAGTATAATTTGTAAGTGTGTCAGCACAAGCAGAACGGCTGTAAAATGAGAGATAAGATAAAGCAGTTTAAAAATTAGTACCGGCCACAAATGTTGCAGTTGCACCACAGCAGCAACAAAAAAAAAAAAAAAAAAGACATTTGCTGAAAGCCCCTCAGTCTGTCTGGAACCAGTTTGTCCAAACAGAGAAAAGAGAAGGGGAATTAATGGGGCGCAGCACTTGGGATTAAAAAGTGTAGTTAGATGGGGCACTGGTGCAATCTTGAAGCAGTCTGGTCAAAGGACAAGTAATGGCTTTTATTTCGTCGGAAAATAGCTCCTCTTCTGCTGCATGCTTGTTTTATTAGTTTCTCATCGGCAACTGTTTCCTGAACAATATTCTTGGAAAGTGTGAAACACCAGAATAAAGAATAAAAACTGGCTGACAGACGCTGCTTAAAAAAACGTCTATAGGACTGCTGCAAAGCAAAGTGGTGGGATTACCTGGTGGTTTTAGACGATCATTTTAACAACAGGAAATGGAGCAAAAACATCAGCAAAGACTTAGTATATCCAGAGGTTATAGTACGATACCTGGGCTCTTATGCTGGCTCAAAAGAAGTATCAAGCCAAAGTAAATGTAAGATGAGTCAGAGCACTGTGATGTACTAAAGTTCAAGCTGTACCCATGTGCAATCATCCATTTTACACTTTAAACAGCGAGGTTCAACTGAGCTTGGAATGCTCTTATCCAAACTAAATCTTGCACAACAGACACCTTTCACATTAAAGCTTGTTTAGATGTGTGTATTCACTTGTTTCACATTTTCTCATCGTCATGTACAAATAGAGACCTATTATCATTAAACACTATGTATTCAACAAAATATGGTTAGTCTATATGACAGAAAATGCACTGCCATCACTGCTACAATCTACTTCAATTTACTGCTATCTAAAGTGTAGCAAAGTGCAATTATTACCTTTAGTCCACTTCGTCCAGACTCTCCAGGTTCACCCTGAAATACATGCAAAGGGTTTTCTTTTGAGCATTTTGACCAAGTATCAGATCAGAAATGTCGACCACATTACTCTATATATGTTAGCAAGCTAATGTCAGTTTTAGTATGTGAACTGTTAGAGGATATTTACATAAACTTCCAGGTATAACTAATAACTTTTGCCGATGTAAGAAATAGTTAGCTTGTGTAGTGCAACCTATTTCGGTGAGACTTTAAAATTACCCTCAGCAACATACAAACAGCTGGTTCAACCCACACCTAATTGGAGGACATGGAAAAACGTTTAGCTTAGCTTACCTTGATGCCCGCTGCAGAGGAGCCTGCATCTCCCTATAAGAGAAAGATAACAAATGAAAATTAGAAAAGGTACAACATGGAAAAGTGACAGAGGTAATTACAAGATTGGATGAGTCTTTCTGCACAGGAACAAACATTATCGTGCAATTACAGTTAACAAAAAAATATAAAAGAAGCCTATTTTTACTGAACATAATTTGTCTGGGTGAAATCCAATTAGAGAGCGGATTGTCTGCTATTCAAAGCAGTGTTCAGATTGAATGTACCTTTCACAGGAGTTCGAGACAGCCTTTTTAAAACTATTGTCGCGAATCATTTCATTGTTTTTATACCGTCAAGAGTGCAGCTGCATACTGGTGATGACATGAAAACAAAAAGCTGTACAAACAACAACCATTTTCATTGCATCTCTTCAGGTAGGCTACTGAACGAGAAGTAGACAGAGCTACCTATACCACATTTTCCCAGCAAAGTCATCCAAACATGCAGAGGTTCCCTTCTATGCACTGCATTACGACTGCAGTGTACAGTAAAAACACGTAAAACAAGGGGCCAATAAGCATAATTATGGGTGGTTGGTGGGAAAAGGGAGCGGGGAGAAGGAGACTGGGTCTTCAGCTCTGGTGTGGACTCTGTGGTTTCACTACACGTACGCCTTGCGCTCAGAAGTTGCTGAAGGAATGCCTCTCGCCCCTCAGCTTTTTATGGGAGTCATTACGATGCATATAGCACACAAGGCATGTTTAATTGCAGCATTTTTTTTGCAGACAATAAACTGTGTACTGTTTACAGCTGGGCTTTGTCGCATACTGGAGTGTGCCTCTATTCATATTTTAAAAGTTATCATTCCAGTTTTTAGAAGGGCATTTTCATATAGATATTTTATGGAGGGTACAAAGGATCCAAGAGGATTAACTTTTGCCAGTTGGCTGTGCATACAGGCTCATCATATTACATTATCAAAGATGAATGAAAGGCTTTCACATGATGAAGTTTAATGTTTTTGGTCAAAAACTACATGGATGTCATGTCGCGGTTGACCTAAAAAATTATAATAAAACAGGAAACTGTATGCAGAGAGAGGGCCCATTATTCAGATTTTTTTGAGTAAGTGTTTCAACAAAACAAACATCAAAGTCAGAGCTGGTGTACACCTGTTGCTTTTTGGCAGGGATAGATATCTAAGAATGCCTCACATCTGGACTTAATTGTTACATCTTATACAGAAACGAACCTACATAATGTGTAAGCATGATTCATTTTGTCCCCCATTGTTAATCTCAGCAAGATGAGACCATAAGGAGCTAATTCTGCAGAAAATATTAATTTACAACGCATTTGAGACACTTTTAATTAAAAAGCCGCCATAAGATATGTGAACACAAGTGTTGGAGGATGCCACACACGCAATTAACACTTCACTCCCCTGCTGCTAAACTGTTTGAGCCAATTTTTTGACAAGACAGACACAAGTGACACATAGCCCAAGGACCAAGTAAGAGTTTTAACGAGTTTAATCTTTTCCAAATGATGTACTGTGAGATGGAAAAAGTGGTGGAATTGGGAGGTGAGCTGAGGTGTGGCAAACAGTGCTGAAATGTCCCAATTGGGCCAATTACCATGGTGAGGCTACAAGCCTGTGATTCAACCGCAGAGCCGAGCAGGACCGAGAGCTGTCACCACAGCTCCCCTTCATTATAGGGACCCAGAGCTGTTGCTGCATATTGACATTTAAAGATAATAGCATGGAGATCTCATAATGTGTACTTGGTTAATCAGGCCATTTCCCAGCTGTTTGCCTGTGAGAGAACCAATGAGATGGAGAGAATTAATTGGCGAGCAATGAAGCCAGAGCAGAGTTGTGACAAATGTAACCCATAAACATGACTCCTACTCAAATTATGGTCATTAGTAAAGATGACCAAATTTAGCGGCCTCAGCTGAATATCGCTCCCAGGGCGGCGAGGCCCCGCCAACAGTTGAAACACGGCCAGTTCATAAGAGCTTGGATCGGATCTTAGGATTCAAAAATGATACCAAGCCCTGTGCCACACCGGCCAGAGCCAAGTGCTCAGCCTGGAAGTTCCCAAAACCAATTCAAGGGTTTACTTGGGTTTATTTTTCTTTTCAACCTTTGAAGAATGTGCCCATCTCTGAAGTTTAACTTTCTCAACAAGAGGAGTCACAGTTAATTTCACACCTAGTTAAACACTTAGGCAGAATGCAGCAGAGGTAAATGGTTTAGAACTAAAGCCTTTAACTGCGGTGATGATTTGTTATAAATGAGGCCAGTAATGGACATGCATTGCATTTACTCAAATACAGAACTTAAGTACAATTGTAAGATACCTGCGACTTGCTACTTTTACATGATTATATTAATATAATGCATTTGTATCTGTGAAATAACTTGTTGTTGAGCACCCATTACACCTGACCTACAGGTTTTCTGTGTGGCAGTTTGATTAAACACAACTTTATTTCAGAATATGCACCATGTGGGCACACCAATATAATGTGTGGAACTAGATTTTGACACAGGGCCTCTCTACAAGATACAGCATCTCTAAAGCTTACTAATTAACACGTTATGTCTTTGTTTAGCCCGTACAAAAGCTGAAGTGTGAAAAATGACAGTTGTTGCTGTTTTCCGGGGGTTTGTTTGTGCCAGATTATTTCTTGGCGAGGGATAGGAAGTTACCGGTCCTGTAAACATTAGTTATGGTCTCAATAGCTAGTTTCAAGTCTTTTTTCAATACGGCATGATGTTCATTTTGTACGTTATGGTCCCATTTAGAGTAAAATAGATAATACGATTTAGGGCGTGGCTACCTTGTGATTGACAGGTCAATACCACAACGTTGTTCGGTCTGGGAGTTGTCTGTGTTTTCATCTTACAACTTTAACCCTTCCATAGTGAGTTTTCAGTTCGTGAAATTGTTAAAAAGGCCATATTTAGCGTTATATTTAGGTCCACCCTACCGTGTCACTTCCCCCTGAAAAAAAAGAAGATGGCCACAGCCAAAAACCAAGATGGCGTAGGCCAAAACGCCGACCACAAACCAATGGATGATGTCACGGTGACTATGTCCACTTCTTATCGTCTATGGTTTGATCCAGTAGAAGATTTAGATAATATGTACTTTTACCTAAAAAATATATTTTACTTCGAGTAGAGTACTTCTACACTCTGGTATTACTTAAGTAAAGGATCTGAGGTACTTCCTCTACCACGGACTACAAATGCACTCAACATCCAATAATGAACAGTGTCATACTGTAGGTGTATTCTGATCTAAAGCATAAAACAACAGTTTTGTCATTCAGAGAGATTTAGAGAGTAACACATTGTATGTTCTGGGTTGTGAGGGAAAGAGATTTAAACTTGTGTCTAAGAATAAACGTGCGTATCACTGAGCATATATGTCCTGTCAGTTATTCTCTTTCCCAGTCTACAGATCCCCCGCCGTCAAAACAATCTCCCTTTGTATCATGCAAAGCCCGGTCCGACTGCTTGCACTGCCATTACTCTCCCCGCTCTGCACTCCCTAAGGTCTCTCTGCTCACCATACCGAAACTCTCACTGCCTCACCTCTCACCCCGCGTAACCACATTTTCCCTGCAGTGCGTGCTGTGTATTGTTAACCTTGGCATCATCAGCGGGGAAGACTAAGGATGCTCTCCCCTCCCATCCCCTCCTCTGTCCCCTCTTCTCTCTGGTTTGCTCCTCCGCCAGTGAAACAATAATATCGGGTGGAGCGATTGATCCGACACACTACTCTGATGACAGAAGGCTCAGTTTGTTTCCTCTAGCCGATCCTGTGTCCTGTGTGTGTGTATACATATAAGCATGCAGGAGACGTTTTCTCTTTACTTGCACTGTAACATCAATCAATCCTTTGTGTATCCGACATGTGTTAAACTCATCCGTATACTGAGTCACATCTTGATTGAAAAACAATTATTCCGACCATATGTTGTGCACTATGCTCACTTTTACATCCTGAAATTGACGAGCTGAGAAGATGAGGTAATCCAAACTAATGATAAAAAAAACCTCTTTGTTTCCAAGTCTTTACACTACCTTCTGTCTCTTTTTATTGCTGAATACAGTACTGTATGCTCTTGAAGAACGAATGGCAGGTGACTGGCTACAGAAGTCTGAATTCCCTTGGTGCTCAATTCCACTTTTTCTTTTTCACCCCTGCAGCGAAAATCCATCTTTTTTTTTTGTTTTTTGCTTTTACTGCGTTGAGGTAGACCAGATCAAAGCGGCCAAGAGCTGCAAAGTTTTATCGCCCTCCACTTTCCTTTCTGTTCACTCATTTTCCACAGACGATATCCTGCATCTGTTTCCCTCAAATGGTGTCTTTTTTGGCAGCCGTGTTCAGCAGTCTTTTAAAAAACTGAGTACCCATAAAGGGAGAAAATATCAAAGTTGTTCTCCGCTGAACAGCAATAAATTGGCAGTGACGTTTTGAGTACACTGCTTCTAGTCCTATGCTGGTCTTTCAGTTGTATTTTGTTGTTGTACCTAACTCAGCATCTCTAGCGAAAAAGCAGCATCTCCTGTGAATAAAAGAATCACAATCTTTTGTGTCAGCTGTCTTTTCTTAGCAACCGTGTTATCATTTTTGGGCAACTTTTGGGAGGACTCTTTATCCTTTCCCAGCAGTGTGAGCAGGTTTTTGCGTGGGCTGAATCCACATTTTCAAAGAATTCTCTATTCCAATCCAAATAATTATTTGGTTTTCTGAAATGCTTGAAAACAAATGTGATGCGTAAAGAGGCCCAAATCTTGTGAGGTTGCCCAAAACAAATTAAAGTGTGACCTATTTTCATAAATGCTGCTACAACAAAATAATAACAACAAAGGCAGCGTGAAAGGTCCTAGATTGGATGCATAATCTGACTCAGGACATGATGTCAATGCACGGAAACAAAACAAACATGAAGGTATTACTTTAGCTCTGAGCAATGAGTCCAGCAGAGCTCCACTCTGCCTTTTGTTGGAACTGGATCCCAACTTGACAGAAGCTGTCTTGATGATAAATGATCCCAAATTAATGCAGGAGCCATCCGACCAGAAAAATGCAGCGTCAGCGTAGCATAGCAATTAAGTCCATATTAAGCAAAGAGGACAGATCAAGTGCCAGGATGATTGCTGTTGTGCAGCCTTGACTACAGGTGATGGGACCTGACCTCAGCTGCTGCTGCTGCTGCTCTCCACAGGTCTCCTCTCAGATGGGTAACATTAACTGTTTTTTTATGTTTTACAGCCACAACCAGACTCTGCTGTTTCTCTGTGCAGGTTCCAACACATAAACACAGACAAGGGAAGTTAAAGTGGAATGTACATACCTTCTCCCCTATATCACCTTTCGGTCCATCTTCCCCCATATCGCCCTGTGATGAAATCACACAGAGGTAATCAAACTCAGTCCATTGATCACAAGAATGTGTCAATGCCAAAATAAATAATAGCTGAGAACGGAAAATCTGTAGAAAAAGATATGAAACATGACCACCAGATTGTTTAAACATGCATAACACACGGGAGGACTTCTGTGATTGACTGCCGTGTAAAACAGCGTGATGGAGAAAAAAGCCAAGTACATTGTACATCTTGAATTTGGTCACTAACTGAGTCATCGCACATGGTTCATACAGTATATGATTGTAGGTGACGTAATATACACTTTGTGGAGCATTGTGGAGGTCCTAAACTCCTGGCATTAACTGTGAAGAACTTCACTTCTAAACCCACAACTTTTCAATCTTAGCTGTATGAAATAGATTGAATGTCAGGCCTGTTTTTAGCCATGCTAGCGGCATGGCACTATGGATGGCAATGTCGGCTAAAATATCTAACAATGGATGGTTTCCAGACAACTGGTCTGAAGGAGCTAATTCTACTGTGCTTACACGCTGAACTAAGATGGTGAACAGTATTATACCTGCTTCTTAGCATGCTGATGTTAGCTCAGAGCTCTTGCTGGTACATGAGTTATCATTGCACGGCTTTAAATCCGGTTGATTTCATATCAAAAACATTGTAGTTCATTATGTTCTAAATTTGAAGGTGAGCAAATCCATGGATTTAAAATAAAGGGTTGTGTCCTTGTGGAGGATATTATACTCATATCAGAAGTTCAAGAAAATGAGCCTCCTGAAATAAGCTCTGTGCTTCTCAAACAATCCGTTTTTATCTGTTAGAGGCTGGCACTGCTTTGTTGAATTTGCCTTCTGGCTATTTAGTTGGCACCCAAAGCCAAAAACAATAGTTTATGTTAACATATTTGGCTCATAGTACTTTGGAGTGAATTTCAGTGCTGTCTTTGGCAGTCTTCTGACTGTCCTTCACTTTTCCTAAATCCACATGGTTTTAAATTATAGCCTAATCGATCGTGAATCATACAATTCCAAGAATTTGAAATCAAAAGGTTGTGTTTTTGTGGAAAACATTTAAAAATATTGAAAATGAGCTTACTGTAAGAGGCAATAAACCTGACATCAGGCGTTCATCAGTTTAGATGCATTGTTATTTTTCCATCCATCTATTGGTTAGAGGTTAAAATGACAACTAACAGGGAGTCGGAATTTGAAAAAAAACATGCCTGGCTGGCTCTTTACTTCACTAACAAAGCCAAAAACTGCATTTTATGTTAATAAGTCTCAAAAACTTGTCGTATTTTAAGTCTTTAATTCCCAGCCTGAGAGAAGGGACTCAACGCGATTACAAAGATTGGAAATACAGTTTTTTTCTTTCTAATATTAGCTTTTCCACAACGAAATAATGGACAGTTTTCCCTTTTCCTGCTTGTAAAAACTCTTCAAATTAATCAATCTTGAACGGGAACATTGACCTTTGGTCGGATTGCTCACAACTCGTAGACATGTGACAACACCAAGGAATGACGACATGGCTTCATATTTACCCGATTGACCTGAGCTCACGCCAAAGCCATCTCCTAGATGCAGTTTCTCTAAGTGTACATTGAGCCATTGTTTGCACCCAATCTCCACAGAACACCAGTGATGCTGTGATCAGTGGTTGCCTCATCATTACAGTGAATCCAATGTGTTAACGGTGGGGAATAAGTCTCTGGCTTGAAGAAAAACTCAGAACAACAACTGAGAACGAGAGCCTGAAGGCCAGTTTTGTGGTCGATGAAGAACAGTGAGTCATCACCTCCCTCCCCGTCCTGTCTCACTATTGACGCGGTCCGTGTTAACCCCACCCGCTGCTGTCCAACAACAGCGAATAATGGCACTATTAGAATTAGGGAATGGAGAGAATAGGCCTATTGTGTGGGCCTGGACTAATTTTGTGACTCACTGAATCATTGACTCACTGGTGGCCAAATCTCAGATGGGTGTTACCTTTGAAAAAAACGAGGTGGAGTTGTGGGAATTAAAGGCAGAGCTGCCGTCATGACGGCTGTTCTTACATTTGCTATGATATGATACTGATGCTACCAATAATGGTTGGTGATCTGAATTAGCACTTTACCTTTTCACCGTGCTCTCCCATTTCACCCTGTTGGGAAAGAAAGCAGTATTAAACACAGTATTAAACATAGAGAAGCTCGGGGGGGGAGTTATGTTTATTTGGGGAATTACTGTAGACAGTCAGGGTCAGATAGTATCTGGGGTTAGATTAAGGAAATTCTCCTGTGTTATGGCTGCTTTTTCCCCAGACAGACCCCCCCCCCCCCCACCACAATTTCAATTAATCTAAACCCATTTTCTGTGAACTTGATCTAACATGATCTAACAAAGATGAAATGTCTTGAATGAATATGAATGTTTTCTAAATAATAAATAAAAATGTAATTAAAAAATTCTAATTGTGATGAAAAACAGATTTTTTACTTCAAAAACCAAAAAAAGTTTTTAAGAGAAATGATCGTCGTGAATTTACAAGAATAAGAGCACACACAATGTGCACCAGACCTTGGCTCCAGGGACACCGTCCAATCCTGGGATGCCAACATCCCCCTATGGACAGCATAACATACACACAGTGGCTGTATTCAGTGTGCTGTCTCAGCAGTGTGAACTCTGATTTAAGGTCAGGAGATACACAAAAACTTCACATTTTGTTCGTTATATAGAGATTATTTCTAACCTTAACAGAGCTTAAACTTGTGTCGTCACTGGACAGGTGTTATGCATTTGCAGGATAGTTGATAACAGAGCAGCAGATAGGATAGATAGTGTATTTTTACTTCATTGTATTGTGCTGTACAGCTACAGCTGAGTAAATTCCATAAAATTCTCCAAAAAAGTACCAAAGTATAAACTAAAGAAGCCGCAAACTAAATCAGAATGTAGGGAAGATAAACAGGCTGATTAAAAGCTTCATTATCTCTGGTCTGGTTCTGAACAAGCCAAGTCCATCTGATTCATGCCAGTTTGCTGCGGATGTCACTGAGAAACTCAGTCCATCTGTTGCCAAAAACAATTAACCTAGTGACCTTTGTAAACCTACCACATCATTAGCCTTTTACATAGCAGCTATTATCAAACCAGAGACAACTTTAACAGGATGACGCTGATTATTGTAGCCAGAATGGAAAATCTGTCATTTAAATCAAAATACATGTGAATGGGCTGCTCAATACTGGTCGTATTGTGGGGAAAACTGGGTTATTGAACGCACTTTCATTTCATTTTGGTAACAAACTGCACTTATTTTTCTTTCTCAGTGCCTTGTTGTTTTCATTTTTTCCCACAATGCTTTGTTTTCACGAAGCATTATGTATGATCTGTGTATAGGGAGTATCCCCTCAGCTACACACTAGTGGTGAAACTTATCATAAATACTGGAATCATGTATCATCTATCAGCCCACATATGGAAGTCATTGACGTAATGATGATGATATATTGCCATAATGATGATGGAGTCTGATTAAAACCTCCTAACCTGGGGCTGATAAGGTTTGCATTAGTAATCATCCCCTTTTGGTAGATATCTATGTCAGATCAATACGATGTCTGCCAGTCAACCTGCCACTGCTGGCGGAGCAGCCGTTTTTGCTTTGGACTTCAACTTTCTGCATGAGTGACGGTTACATACCATAACAGATTCTCTTTTATAACTGCATTGCACAGCATTGGCGTTCTATTTCATGCTGGCAAACCAGACTCCCGACACAAGTATGGAATTATGCCTTCAGCTTTTGCTGTCTCCATAGTCAGTATTGGCTTCCACTCTGGTTTCTATTACAGCCATGCGTGCCTCTCCGCTCATATCATATAAATGCATGCTTGAGATTAGGAAGATGGCACCTCTTAAATCATCTCCCCATTCACTCTCGTTTTTGTTCTGGAATAAACATGCTTTGCCTTTTTCCCCCCCCTGTTGTAAAACACCTGCAATGTGTCTTCTTTATTCGGTTTGAGAATGAAATGCAGAAATGAGCTGAGAGTGTGAGCAGATTCAGAGGCAGCCGTACTTTGTGGTTAAGACTCGAGGATGCAGCCCAAGGGGGGATTTCTCCCAAATAGGATAGCGATTTGAAATTGTCAGAATGCATGGCAGAACGTCTTTAATGTGAAAAGTGCAACACATGGCCAAAAGGGCTAATGAAAAACTCTAAGTATGTTAAAGTCAATCTTTTGAACATAAAATACTTTCAGGTGTGGATAAAAGTTAACTTTTTTTTGCATGTGTATTATTTTGTGACTGAAGCGTTTTCCCATGTTCAGGCAAAACTTTGTTGGGCTGTTCAATTTCCCTAAAAATATCCATCTGAGTAAGACAACTGAAGGAGATTAACAAAACTAGTCTAAACTAGTAGTAAAGCAATATGTACCACAATCATCAACTGTATTATTTGCATATCTCTTTATATGAATGACCTCACCTTCAGTCCATCAACACCTGGGTTGCCCGGAGGCCCGAGGAAACCCTGAGAAATAACACACAAAAGGCGTTAAGGTGTTTCATTTCATTCAACAATCACACTGTATTTTGCTTGCAAAGAAAGTGGACATTGCAAAGTTATGGTTATCAAACATTAAAATATATGAACGACAATGTACTTTTGCTACTCAAAGAATAGTCACAAACTGAACTATGCCACGATACCATCAAACGTCGACACGAACACACAGACGTTGGATTAAAAGCAGACCTGTCTATTGTTCCCATACCCACTTCAGTGTGTGCTGATCTTACAAAAACCTTGCCAGAATAAATATTGCACATCATATTTTTAAAATCCACCATGTTATGGATGTCACAGGGAGAGGGCAAGAGTGGCTCTGCTGTGAGAGAGGACAAAGTCAGTGAACTTTTTATACATACTGTAGCTCTTGTGTTTGCATGTGCTCCTTTAACTTACTTAAAGCAGATGATTGAGACTCTGAGGTTGTACCAAGCATGTTTTAATGAACTCCTACTCTCTTGCATAGCGGTTTGCTTATGTTGGCTATTTGTGCTTCTTCGTAATAAAAATGAATTACTGTTACCGTGGTCACATTTATACATGTATCAGAGATGAGTGAAACAATGGTGCATGGACTTGAGGTAATGAAATAACGTCTTCTTTTATCATTTGTTATACTTTATAATCAAACTATAACATGGGATGAAGGAGAATGGATCACATTACAGAGTGAAAGCAGATAATACTTTCATATTATAAGTATAACTATATGATTCACACTCTGTATCATGTTGTGACACCAAATCAATCAGCACGGTGATGAAACTTGAATAACTGCTAAACACAGCACTACACCAGCAGCAGATCTGACTGAGTAACCTCTGGGCCTGGCTTATGAGTCATTAACACGGTGGTGTATCATCATTGACCCCTCCACACACCCCCTCCTACGCCGACGGGAGGCCTTGCTGACAGATGACAGCGCAGACAGGAAGTGTCTGATTGGGTTACACTGAACAAACACTGGCAGCTACCTGATGGCTGGATATGGCTTACATCTGTTCCCCACATCAGCACCACCAGGGAACCGGGGCCTGTATTGCAGCGCTTAGCTCCAGGTTCTCTGTTCTCTGTCTCCCTCCTAGTGTTGTTCAAGCCTTAACTCTCCTCTTGTCCATTTACTTGCCCCAACTGTGGCCCTGCCTCACTAATCTCCAAGTAAACGTATTCAACATTCAGCACGTGTTTTTACAGCCATTTGTGCAACTTGTGCACAGTTACTATCAAATCCAAAACATTATTCTACTGCTAAAGAAATCCTCCCTTGGTTTACGTTAGAATTTCAACTTTTCAGTGTGAAACGTATTTTTTTAAGTCATTCAGTGAATAACTTAGTCAGATAATCTGATTTTATTTAAATAAAAATAAAAATTAAAAATGTCAGTGGAACAAGAAATGATTCTCTGGACTTACCTTCTCCCCTTGTGGCCCTTCAGGTCCCTATAAATGAGAAGCGAGACAAAGAGAGAGAGAGAGAGTTGAGGAGAAACAGGACAAAAAAAAGTCCATGTCAGATGAAATAATATGATTTCCACAGCCAACACGGTCACAGCAGAGAGACTGGCAAGGCTTTCTGGTCGGATTCCATACAGTGAGCACACACCCTTCGGGCAGAACCGAATCACAATCGATCCCTTGTTTTACTCTGAAAATCACCCCGTGCCTTCTTTTCATTGAGCTTCACCCGAAACATGAATCTCTAATGAGACCATGAATAACAAAATCTTTTACGGTTTTATCTTTCATGTCAAGCTCTTTCTTTATTCATTTTAGCAACTGTAAAAACTTGTTTGGCTGTTCCACATTCTAAGCCTACAGTCCAACACACAGAGAGGTTCATTACCGAAAGAGGCCAATAGTTGGAAAGCCTTACAAAGCTAATAAGCTAAACAGGGCAAAGAAAAAGGCGCCACATCCCTAACTGAGATATAACTCGGTGATAGATGTGTCTGGGAGGACAGTTTCTATTTTCAACCTGCTGTTTACCCCAGTAAAACCGGAGGCCATGTTGGACCGCCACCCTCCTCCACTAGAACCTGTCTGCAGGACTGCTTTATGACCTAAATGAGAAACCAAGCTGAAAGTTAGGTTCTTCCATTTTGGCTTCAGAAGTCCCAGAACTATTGCAGTACCCACAGCAGTTCATCAACACCTTTACGCCTGGCTGTGATGACACTTCATGGTGGCCAACATTTTCCTCCCGGTCGGCTCAGGATCTACGGCGAATGGTGTTATTTGGCTCATCACTCTCAGTTGAGCCAAGGCCAAGCAGACCGTACACCCCACAACCACTCTACAACAGCTTTCCAGCATAATTGACAAAAACCTAAGACTTGGTCCACTGATGAGTGTAAAAGGTTTGTATACCTGTATTTGAAAGTAGCCAACGAGGACACATTCCGGTTGAAACGTTTTAAAGTCAGTGCACATTTTTTTTGAAGAAGACTTGAAGGTTGGTGGTGGCCAATGTATGCCTTGTGTCCAAAGCACCAACGGATGCTTTGGCTCAGCAAAACGGACCATAATAATGGCAAATCTTTCTGAGAATAAACGGTTTGTTCGTTCTCTTGTTTGTTTTTTGCTGGTGAAACAAGGCGACCACCAAGTAACTGAAGCTCTAAACTTTCCCATTCTAAATTTCCATTTCGAGTTCTCACATTTACAGAAATGGCCCACACAGTTACAGCTCATTTAAAGCGCATTCCAGCTGCACTTATAACAAAAACCTCAATGAACAACTTTCATTATCCCAGCCGACCAAGAAAAAGGTTTTCCTCCCGCTTGCCTTTAAAAGTCTTTGTTGGCTGTCCACAGTAGGGTTTGGTAAACATCTTTATGACCCACTAGGTATGTGAGAGCATGTGCCACTCGCCTGAGCGCTAATTAGCTTGGCTACATCTGAGAGCACTCAGGAGCTACTGGCTGAAAAGGAGATTTTTCACAAAGTCAAGGGCCCTTGAGGAAGTCTTGGTCCTGGCACATTTTTTCTCAACTTTGGGCCCGAGGAAATAAAAATTGGGGAACAATCCAAACATTTTCATTCAAAAGGAGAATTTTTTTTCAACTAAAAGTATTCATGATAGCACATGCTCAGCATACAGCACCCTCAGCTGCCTCATTTAAAATGCATGAAAGAAAAAAAATCTGCAAATGTGCAATATCAACAGGACGCCCATTGAAGTCGAGCATCCGAGCACAAATACAAAGCACTGAATGTTCGCCGCTTTCATTCATGACTCGGAAATGACAAACAATGAAGCAATTGGCAGGTCCCTTCCCACACTCAGACTGCAGTTTGAAGAACTACCAGAGTGTGCATTTCTCGCTAGCGTTCACAGGGAAACTATGTCGGCTGATCAAAGCACAGAAGAGCTTCATGTTGGAGCTTTCTGTTCAAAGCCTCTGTTTAATTTAGCAGATTATTGAAAAGGCTTTGCAATACAGCACAGCTGATTACATTAACTTAAGGAACTTTCAGCTTTATATTTTTTGACAACCTTATTGTTATCCTAAGGTGTAATGTAGCAAGAATATGGCACATATAGACCATCCAATCAACCGCAATGTTGACCAAGAAGCAGCTCTGAAATACATTGTATCCCCTTGTCTCTCATTGGATTCCAGTTTCCAGTAGAGTGGGTGTCTATTTTAAATAAAATGACAGTGTTGACAACTGTATTATGCTAACCTTTATGGGTTGCAGTTGCCATTAAGGTCTCTGTGGTATTTTCCTTGGTAATCCATCTAGGGCTCTGATTAATAACATTTTTTGTTTTAGTTTTTTAAAGCCGATTCTGATATATTTTAGACTAAATACTTATTTGACTATATATTCAATATCATTGGGATTGAGTATTTTCCACTAGAGTCACATACTTGGCACTCTAGATAAATCGTTTGCTCTATCTTAAAGTCTTACCAACAGTCCAAAGACCAAAGATACAACAGAGAAAAACAAAAGAAATCAACTTGGAAAAACTGACGAGAGAATGAAAGGGAGGTTTTGGTTGAAAAATATGTAGATAAATGACAAATATAGCTAGGTTGTTTATGCCTTCATTATACAGGCATATTAAGTCAATTAAATCCCTACATGCATGCCATTGTGCTTTTAAACAAATCATGTGAGTCACTGGCGCATGTTGGGTGGTTATGGAATGAAAAGGACGCAAGAGGAGCAGCAAAATTGAAAAATAACACCAAAATGCAGATAGGGGAGTTTTTTTCCCCACTGACACCACATACAATACACAACTGTTTTTTTTATTTTGTCTTTTTGAAGCAAAATCAAGTCCCAAATAAAAACTGTGTGCGAGGCTTCAAGCCACCTTTAGAGAGATGAAGACCCCCTTAATTTACCCCAGAGAGACCTTATGGCACTGATGGTTTTGAATTGAGTCCTGAAAATATTTCCTTTTTCTTCCTCCCACCTCCCCCCCCCTCCTCCTTGTTGCTTCACAAGGGCTTAATCCTTCTAACCAGCACCATATGTCCTGGAAGGCTGCTGGAAAACTCTGGAATCTACTTTTGCCTCTTTAACAATAGCATATACATCAAAAACGCTGAGCTGTGTCAAGTGGGCACTAGCTCCTAGAGCACCATAAAAGAAGCAAAAGTTGGTGAAGGACCAACCTCAAAATCCCTACCTCCAGTTGACTTGTGCAGATCTAAAAGGGCCGATCAAAGATTATCCTTTAAGCTTGCTGTACAAACTGGAGCCTATCGGTCTCGTTGCTTATGCACATCTAATTCATATTGATTTCCAAAGGCCGATCAAGGGTGTGGACTAGAGTTTCGTTTCTGGATGGAGAATTTCTTTTTATTCCCTCTCCAGAGGTTTAACAACCCAAACTATCATTTACAGAAACGTCTCTCTCTAGTCCATTATCTTATCATAGCAAGACAAACTGCCGCTGGCTGGAAACAGAAGCTAGGAAACTCCAGCGTGTTTGAGCGGCCATGTCACATCACATCTCTCGACAACCTCTGAGACGCGCTCATCTCACGTTGCTTTACGGGGGGAATGATTCCTAAATGATGGCATTACTCCTCGTTAAAAGTACATTAGTGTCATGCTGTATACTCCTGAAATAGTACGCCTTATTTTAAAAAATACAGAGAGCGGCGCATATTCTTTATTCAAAGCTCTGCGCGAGGGATTCAGCATTCATTTTTTGGAGGAATACTCCAGCTGCTGTCGTGAGAGGTTGTATAAGCACCGGAGACTCATGGTTGCACACCTGGGACTACTGAGAAATCTGCTGCAAATTGAACATTCATGACACTAAATAAACACGCTGCTTACACAGCGATGAGCACAAGGGAGGATAATGGGTAAAAATGTATAATTAAAGCCAACAAAAGCTGAAAACTGCAGCGACATAAAAGCAGAAAGAGGGAAAAGAGTGAAGAATGATTAGCATTTCCAGCTTTAAACTCCTCTCACTCTCTAGTTAATGCGTCTCTCTAGCCACTTAAAACTCACCATCCTTCATTTTCTCTGTCCATTTATTTCCAATCCACCAACTTTTTCCACACCATGGAAAGGGTCAGAGATGGAATCAGAGATGAAAGCGCTTGACAACACCTCCTCTGTCAGCTTTACTTACAGTCGTGAAAACTGACATCTCCAAGACTTTTCTCATGTCACATTTTCCGTCTTTGTTTTCTCAGGAATTTGGCTTGACCTATTCGATGTAGCTTTTATGAGGAAACTTTAATCAAACGCTTTATTTGCTGAACACCACAAGTGGTATCCAGTTGCTGTTAACTGGAACAGCTTGTCCCTACTGTATAAGGAGTTCTTCTCGGAGAAAACAAACGCTTTTGCAGGGTATCATAAAATGTGGCATTGATATTCACCATATTACCCAAAAACCTTAAGAATATCTCGGATTTTTGATAACATCACAGTTGATTTGTTAGCAAATTAAAAAAAAAAGAGGTTTAAATGAAAAAGTCAAAGAATTATTGATCAACTTATTAATCAAAGCAACCTGCCTCCACATGACATGAGCCATTTTGGAAAGTGTTGGTACCGCTGGATTCTTTTTGAATTCAATGTTGTACAAAGTTGAGGATAGTCATGATGAAAAAGAAGGAAAACAAGTTGAGAAGACTGATACCATTCTCATGTCTGCATGGTTAAAATGAAGCTACCTCCAATAGGCTGTTAGCTTAGCATAAAGACTGGAAACAGAGGGAAACAGTGAGCCTGACCCTCTCCAAAAGTAACACAATCTGCCTACCAGCACCTCTAAAGCGTTCTAATTAACACATACACATATCTCATTTGTTTCATCCGGACACAAGCTGAAGCATAAAAATAACACAAAAGGAAAGAAGCTTGTGCTTACCATGATTCCTGTTTCTCCAGACAGCCCTGGATCACCCTATACAAACACAAAACAGCCAGTTAATGGAGGAGCAGTGGGCCAAGTCTTCTCTGAGAAGTTGAGAACACGCATGGCGTTTTAAAAAAGATCATAAACAGCATTCTGAGTTAAACAAGACATATATTACGGTGAAATAAATACTGCATTTTCCACAATATAGTTGAGTTCCCCGTTTCTTTTCGTGTTTTAACAGCCGCTATGGTGCAACGGGGCCAGGTTGCCAAGTAGAGCTCAGCATTGCTCTGCTCATATACCGAGTTGGCTATGAGGCATTTCATCATGCTGTGGCACCTGTAGTCTTCACTGTCTCTGTCCAACCACCGTGTTCTAGTTACGCTTGAACATTATTCTATTTTTTTCCTCTTTGTGACGTTTACAGAGCAATTTTTGCTACCCTCCTTCTATGGCATTTGCGGTAGGAGAAATAAATCACGGGAGAAGCACTCCGGCAAGAGAATTTTAAACAACTATTGCAACTGCAACTGGAAGAACTGAAAACAATCATCATCAAAAACTTGGAAAGAATCAGATAAACAACACTAAATATGTTTGCACTCCCACTGTGAACTCAGCCAAGACAATAAAGATCAGCTGGAGCCCTCAGAAGGTTTTATGGCTGAACATAATTGACAGGCCTTTTCTGTTTCTTCTTTCTCTCACAGGCAGAGATCACATCAATGAATGGGATGCCAGTGACAGGCTTAAAGACATGGAAAATGTTACGTTATAATGAAAAACAATCAAATAAACGTAAATCCATACACTCTCTTGGGAGCATATTCATGTTTAGCTAAACACATCAGGGCAATGAACTGCAATGCAGTTTGTCTAGTCTTCATTAGAAAGCTTTTCATGGGGATAAACCCTCCCAGCACTGGGTTACAGTCAAATTGAATAAGAGTACATAAAGAGCTGAACTTGTTTTACTCTTAATGGAAACAATGCAGTACGTTTTAGAGAGAAAATCCCCACAATTTGTACTGGTCCAATGCCATTTTAATAATACACTGGCTGCAAATCTTTGTTCAGTTTATCCAGACTTCCTCAGATCTCAGGTAGAAATCAATACTCACTGCCAAACCGGGTACACCTCTGGGTCCATCTTTCCCAGTGTCCCCTGGAGGCCCCCTCGGCCCAGGAGGTCCGGGTGGCCCAGGTGGCCCAGGTGGTCCAGCTTGCCCTTGATCTCCCTGTGCGGCAAAAAAGCACATTTAAGCATCAGTATTCTGTGATATTGTTGGATCCACCGAGACCGGAGCCACTGCAGTTAAATGATAATGAAGAGAGAGTAGTGGAATTATCTCGTGGGTGGCTATGGGCTCCCTCCATTCATAACATGGAGGAGAATTAGCATTTTGGATCTTATGGATAAAACTAGCAGACAAGATGGAGCTGAATTGGATTTACAGCTGGAAGAGTAATCCCCTAAAATCTATGCATTCCTAAATGGACTTAATGAGTTGAATAGGAGTTATACATTAGGCACCAATAATCAGGGTGAAAATACACTGAAAATATGTGGCCCTTTATTCTACTGGATTATTAAAAACTCTAAGAAAACATTCAACAATCCAACTTGTAAGGAAAGTGCTGAAAGTAGTGCCAGGATAGTAATTCATTTTACCTTAATGAAACCTTGTTTTCTAAAAAGAGATTTCCATATTTAGCTTTAACAATAATAGAAGGACAGAGTACTTATGACAGGTCTTTCTGAAGGTCCGCATGCAAACTGAAGAATGTCCAGAGAGAAGTGATTGGGTGAGACTTGGCACGACAGAGAGAGGAGAAGAGGACACAGCCACTACCTTAATGAGCCGTCGCTTTATGAGCTGCTGGTCAGCAGAAAGAAAGCCATGACTGATCTTAGGGAAGACCATCTGAGCAGGTGTGTGAGGTCAAGAAGTCGTAGGTCAGAGGTGAGATAAGGTTGAAGAAGGATGAGGTCCCAGAAGGAGAAGGAGGAGGAGGAAGGCAAATGCAAAAAGAAACACATTTGGTTAGAAAGGCTTGTGTTCATGAACCCCGGTACAGCGCCTTTACAAATGGGGGGAGAAATCCACACTTTTCCAGCATGGAGGTGGTTTGCTTCGGAAGTCTGGGCTTCTTTTCTTGGAGCCAGGACCCATAATTACCACCTCAGGGGTGTGAGGGCGCCACAGTGGGCTCGCAGACCCCGGAGAAATGGGAATTTCTCCTCCTCTGTGAAAGCGCTGTCATCATCCTCATTGCGCCTGCTGCTAAGTCAGACCCTGGGAGCTGCACACACTGAAACCAGCGTGGTCGACCTTCTGAGTTGAGGTTGATTTCCAACCTTATTGCTTTCAATGCATGCATTATTCTGCTCGTGTCCATTGGTATTAAGTGGCTTCATCCATCGCTGAAAGAATCCCAAATCCCGAATGCCAAACTGGTGGATTGAAGGATTTGTGGCGAACCAGGGGCATGAGCTTTAAAAAAACATTTTGCCACTTTGGTTCATCATCGAGTATTCCTCTTGGAGTTCCTTCCATTTATTTTCGCATCAATGGACACGAGCCAGACCACATCGTCTTGCTCCAGTCAGCTACATATTTCTTGGTTGTAAAAGGCCACCTTTGCTTTAAACGGGGAACCTGGCATTAGGCATGGAACAGAGATCTTGAGTGACTGACTGGTAGCGGCAGTGGGGGAAGAGGATAATGATTGACTGGCTGTGATTAATTAGATGGGGTTTTTCCTTTGCCTAGTCCATCGTCAGGCTTTGAGACAAAGCAGCCGACAGAGATTTATTTACTCCCAGTGTGTGCTGCAGAGGGGTCGGACTGAGCAGCTGAGCCGCACCACCACCGACAAACCTTGACAGTCAGGATCTGATTGCTGTGCAAAGCAGCCAGCGTATGGAGACCAGGCAATCCCTAAAGGGACAAACAGCAGAACATGGCACAACACACGCATGACATTCAAACACTGGGTGAACAAAAACAGTTAAAGCAGGAAGAAGATGCATCCTACTTCTAAATATTCTCACAAATTTGTACACGAGCAGTATATGTGAAATACTTTAACATGTATTCAAGGGTCTTACTTGAAACTGGCTAACATCAAATTCAACTGTCAAACTATTTGTTTTGAGGACCTGACATTTCAGACCAACATTATATTTTCAACATTCACCATTTAAACAAGTTCAGGCGGTGTAGAATGCACGCTACATTGTCATTGCTAAAGTAACCGCTTCCTGTAGTTTTCTTCCAAATATATAGACAGAACCAGAGGATTATCTCATAACAGACTTTGAACTATATCATGCTGGTAAATTGAGGAGCTGTATTGTTTGCAGAATTTCTGGGGAACATCAAGGGATTGAGATGTTCACTGGCAATTCAATCAAATCGTTTCCAATTCCCTGGTCAACAACAGACATGACGGATGTGATCCACTCATGAAAACTGAATAAAAGACGAAAGTATCAGGCCTTTTTCTTGTTAAGAGGAGACAAGGGTGTATAGCTGGATGCTAACTTTAAATCTGAATCCAGAAACACTGACATATTTTCAGCCAAACATGGTTTAGAATGTTATACTCAAATAAATTCACTTTGTTTAGTTTTATTGACCGTCATAAATCGTTCTTTAATTGTCCATACTTAAGACATATTGATTTTTATTTCATTGCACTGCCGTGCAAGCTGGTCTTTGATAGTGACACGTCTTTTACAGGCATGTTGCAGTATTAATGTCCATTGATGCATGAATTGACAGTTTGCAAAACACCTTCCACAAACGGCACTTGTCAAGTCAAAGCCTAGCATGCATAAGTAGGCACAGAAGAGCTGTCCAGCTTAGGGTTTTTCAACAAGCTGAGGTTGTGTTCATGGGGCTGTAATTAGAGTGACACTGCAGTTTGGATGTTGTCTTTTTTTTTTTCAGCCTTTCCAAAACTAAAAACACAACAGAAGCCTTATTGATTCATAAATTGCTGTGCAAAAAGGGAAAGCATGACGAGGAACACTTAAATGTAGATGTTTTAACCTTTAATGCTAAGTCTATAGAAAAACATGTAAAGATTGTACTGCAATGGTTGTACAGTGATTGCATATTCTCTTGTTTATCTTGAGACTGCAGCTTTTGCTTCACCATAAATAACCAACCCGAATGAACTGTGTTCCTCAAAGACTGGCACACCAGTATAAACATGCCCTGTAAGAGCCCAATCACCCTCCATATTCAAGTTTAAGATAAAATCTGGCCTATCCAAACATGACTTTGGTGCCATCCCTCTGGTTTTCCAAAGCTAATTCAAAAAGCATGGCTCATTAAGAATATGGCTTTCAAGGCAGGCAGATTTAATTCAGCCCTGCAGCAGAGCAGAGCAGAGCAATACGCTCACACTGGAGACAATAGCCATGCTGTGTGGAACTGGGATTGAAGCGCAAATATTTCCCAAGTTATTTACAGCCTCAAATATCTTGAGCACAAAGAAGGAAAACACAAACTGGATTATGGTCAGGGGGAAACAGACTATACAAAGAGTTTAGATAGGAAAATGTAGTGTGGTGCATGTGCACACATGAATGCCCTCTGGGTTGTATCTTTTTGGCTTTTGCAATGACTTCAATACATAAGCCTGGGCAGACACTGAAGAGAAGCAACCCCACTGACTAATGTGTGTTTGAAATGTGTAAAAAATAAATATGTAATTATCTGACCAAAAAAACATGGTTTGATCTTTCTGTGCAGAAGATTAGAGTAAAGCGGAGAAAGGCTGGACTAGGTGTGTTACCGCATTGCCTCTGCACTGATGTCTCTGTGTGTGAATGATAATGACACGGCGGTTTACAGAGAATCCTAACCATTCACAGATTGCATTGTTTTGCTTCTCTCCTCAAAAGCGGATGTTGGTTATTTGGCGAGGAGCTCTATTGCTAAGTATTTGCCTGCAGCAAGATGACTTCAACTGTAGTAAACAAAAAGCCAGATATGAGGACAATCAGCAATAGCCGTCATAGGACGCTGGCCAGAACCAGCATCTCCACGACCACACCAAACACACAAAACATCCCAACCAAATGCAGGCTGAGGCATTTTCTGAATAGCTATATGTGGAGTGGATTACCAGTTCTGTGCACAGATGGCTTTAATACATTTAGGAGAGGATCGATACATTCATTTTAAAACCTCAGATTTGGCATCAATGTGGTTCATCAAAAATATGTCTCAAGTGAAATTAATTTTAAGTCCTCCTATTTCATGTGCAAACAGTCTGACTGTAAAACACTTCTTGTTCACGTCTGAAAAGTAAAATCCTGGAAATTACATAATCACAGTCTCTTTATTTTGGGAGAACATTGAAAATTGGTCAAATCCCATAATGTGAAGAGTAAAGTCCTGGACAAACTACTCAGAGGAATGTTTCCTCTAGCTGACCCAGGAATTAACCAACCTTTGCCTGACACCTGTAGCTTGTGCCATCCCTCACAAAAAGACCACACACACCTTTTCTTGGTGACGCACAGAGCCAGTAACTCCTGTTAAATATATCCCACCAGTGGAGCTCCTGGCGGTGGCCACGCATTTGTTTGTCAAAACTGGCCAGTTTATTATTTGTTGCTTGTTTTAACCTTTGGTGCTTGGATGTGGCCTTTGACTTTTAAGGGCCGACAAATGTCTGACCCTGACATGTGGGGAACAGCAGAGGAAGTATGCGACTGTGAGACCATGTGCCGATTCTCACACTGTCTTTGGTCAAACACAAACACATATTGTATAAGCAAGCAAATACAAATAGTCTGTCCTTTGAACGATTCTAACTTTAAATTTGTTAGATGTAATGTAATCTGGCAAACTGTGGTGTGTAGGGGACATATTCATGACATGCCCTATTGTTTACATGTCCCCCCCATATGGGTTTAATAGCCTCTCTGCACACAGCAATACTGGGCATGAAATTAGTTTAATTTCCAGCAAGATAGAGTCAAGGTCAGGCAGCATTTGTCCTGTTACGCCTTCATGTATTAAGCAAATCTCTCTAATACTGTTCCATTACATTTACCTACTAATCTAATGTGTGAAGTCAATATCCCATTCTGGGGAGGTAATGTAATTTGCTGGTGACCTAGACTGCTTTCATGCCCCTGTAGTCCTTCATATGTGACTGACTGTGTGTTAATTTGTACCTGTTAGGGGACAATTTTGCTGTAATTGGAAGTTAGCGAAATGCTTTCTTGAAGTGGACAGTTTATGTATTTACTCTACAAGACAAATAGGGCCTGGCTGGTCCCTGTTACAACTCTGTCAGCCACACTGCTGTTTCAAAATTGTAAATCACTTCACTGATAGAGACAGATGACTCCATTTCCTAGGTTAAAAGGGTACAAATTATGACCAAAACCCAAGAAATTCTATCCAAGCGGCGATAGTTCACAAAGACATTTCCTTTGTGCCCGGTTGCAATGGTTCAGTCTTTGCAACTGTCATGATTATCCAATACTTTTCATATCATTCAAAACGAACTAAGGAGATCACAAAGCTGGAAGTGTACTTGTAGATTGTATTAAAGTGTGAAACCACTCAGAGATCTCTGCGAACTTGGCTGTCATTTGAGGAGTGCCCCAGATGTATCGCTTTGGGACCTCTAATCGAATTTCGCAGAGAAGGTCATTGGTATTGACTTCCAAATCATAAGAATTGTGGTGCTTTGGCGCGCAGAACTGGCCTGGAGGTGAGCTGACAAAGATAATTGGCAAACTACTAACGTCTGGTTGGGCGCCAACACAGAATTTGGATCAGATCCACTTTGGAGATGGCTGGTGTTCTGATGACAAGACAAACCTCTGTTTTGTTATGTTCTCTTGTCCCCTTATGGAAATCAATTACAGGCATTTAAAGTGACCGACTCTTGATGATGACAGCAGATACAGAGAACATGAAAAGTGTGCTTTATGCACATGTGAACCCCAGTTAATGCAATCTACTTTAAACAAACCTGTGCAGTTGCAGTCTGCTTTTCAAAGAGGCCTCATTTTTAAAACATTATTTGAGATAAATAAGGGCGCGCTTGCTGCTAGTTGGAGATGGGAGTAACTCATTTCAGAGTCATTCAAGCACGGAAAAGCACTCACATCATCATCATTTAGAAGCTGCACTTTTATAGAAATGTCAAGCTACAGAGCTGGAAATGATTAAAGCTCTGAATACACCGTGTCTTGCTGAGGATTGAAGTGAATCATGAGCAATTATCGAGAGGGAGCTAGTTGGCTTTTGATTATAGCTGATATTGAGCAGATATCTTCTGCTGATGGGCAAAAGTGTGTACTCCTGTTCAATTTCAAAAAACAAGAGGTAAAGAGAATGTCTTTGTGTCTCAAGAAGTACATCACCCCGGGGGTATCTTGCACGTGTTCCAGCCCATTCTTGATGTAGAAATGAGCGGTGCTGAAATGCTTGTTGTATTTGGCCAGATGGGAAGAACACTATCCTAGGAATTTCATGCATCTCACATGCCCACAATTCTGCTGGGGGAGACACACACACACAGTCACATTCATCTAATCACAAGAAGTCAGAGTAAACCGCATACCCGTGGTCCCTGGTCGCCTTGATCCCCCTGCAGAAGGAAAGAAAAATAACTTTGAAACAGCCCTTGAAATGCAAGGGTCAAACACAGAGTGAACACACACGCGCGCACACACACACACACACACACACACACACACACCCAATAATAAGCAAGAGAGTCACACCAACATCACTGAGGCATAATTTAGAACACATTGATAACGAAAATAATACAGGAACCCTCAACTATTCGTTGTGGTTGAGAATAAAATCACTTATGATAACATGGACTGACATGAATTGGGTACGAGAGAGAGAGAGAGAGAGAGAGAGAGAGAGAGAGAGAGAGAGAGAG